CCCTGCTTCCCACAGGAGCCTCTTGAAACAGAATTAGGATTCTGTTAGCATGGAAGAAGGAAGATGGAGGTAGGGGATGGGGGTTGGGGAGCTCCCATCAAGACTGTTTTAATGGCAAGGACTGGCGATTGGACTCAGGTTAATTCATATGAAGAAGTACAGGAAGAGGGAAGGACTGCACACGCAAGGAGACAGGCCCCCAGAAAAGGGGCGGCCACTACTCAGTTGTAGCTGATTTATTTTTTATTTATTTATTTTTTTTTGCATGATGGGATCTCCCAATTTTCAAGACAGGAATCTGGATTTTTATGTCAAATCTCCAAATTGTAGTAGATCGGGTCAAACATTTTTCAATGATGTGTGAGCCCGATGAAATTCACTGCAGGCCAGGTTTGGTGAAGGGGCCGCCGTTGGCAGCCTCTGGCAGTGCCTCCTCGTGGTTGCTGCCTGTGCCTACCCTGCATATGGCTCCCACTCACCACGGCTCGGCTCTGCAAACATACCTGACCCAGCTGTTCAGTGTCCCACTTCCAAATCCTCAGGGGAGGAAGCCGATGGGTGCAGTTTAGTGTTTGCTATAGTCCCGGCCCAATTAAGATGGGTTGGGAAGACCGGGTCAAGAGGTACAAACATGGTGGCTTTGGCCTGCTCTGTCCGCACGGTGGCACAATTACTGGTATTTCTGGAACCCAGGCAGACACATATGTAACCTCTCCAGTCTGTTCATTGTCACTGCTGCGGATCGTGTGATGGCATGTGGTTGGCATGCATGGAGTCTCCACCATGCATCAAGCATGATGTTCAACACTGAGGATGCAAGAAAAGAATAAGACCTGGTCCTTACCTTCAAGCATTCAGGGTGCAGTGGTGGGTACAGGCCTAAACAGGTCACTGCGATGCAGTGTGATGTGGGCGCGAGTGGAGGGATGCAGGGTGTTGTGGGAGGCACACAAGATGCCAACCATGAAACTCTAGAAGGTTCCGAGGCCCCTTCTGCTCCTCGGAAACTCAGTGGTTTCAGCCAGATGTGAGCCACGGGTGGTGCTTTACTGTATTCTGATTCTTTGACATCTGAACATACCTCACCTATAATCCTTCTCAGTTAGTCAAGAATATTTGATGAGGAACTACTTCAAATGCCCCTACTCCCACCATGCCAGAGAACAGAGCGCTTTCTAGAGTCATCAGTAAGAGAACAATTCCACTCACAATAGCATCAAAAAGAACAAAACTCTTGGGAATACACTTAACAAAAGGAGTGCAAGGTTTTTACAAAGTACCAAGCATCGCTGGAAGAAGTAGAAGGTCTAAATAAATGGAGAGGCATGCCAGGCTCATGGCTCAGCAGACTTAAAATTGTTAAGATGTCAATCAATACTCCCCCAAATTGATCTATAAATTCAACACAATCCCTATCAAAACCCCAGCTGGCATTTCATGCAGAAATTGGCAAGTTGGTTGTAAAATTTATATGGAAACACAAAAGACCCAGAAATGCAAAAAAAAACACCAACATCTGGTGAAACAATTCAGGAAGAAACAGTAATGGCATGGACATAGCATGGTGTGGGCCAGTAGAGACCTCTTCTCAGCACACAGGGTGCCACTGATCCCAGATGCATGAAGACTTCTAGGCTCCAGTCTTTAAAAAAAACAAACAAACAACAAAACCAGACAGATGAAAATTCAACTTAAGAGACTGAGGCAGATAATTAGGGATGAAGATGCCAAGGTGGCTTCTAGGCTCATGTAAGGCTTTCAGAAACATCTGGAAGCCTGTTTGCCATCTCAGGGGGTACCAGCCACAAGGTAGAGAGATGCTGAGCAAACAAGGAGTGAGCTTGGTGAGTTTATTCTCTGTGAAGGGGTTCCTTGGGGGATGATCCTTCCCGTGGCCCCTTCTCAAGGATTACATGGTGTCCCTGGGGCCACGCAGTGGGCCGCTGATGCCATTTGGGATCCTGGATGTGAAACAGGCATCAAATGTTGGTAGTTTCATGCCTCATCTCTTCTGCCTCCTCTGTATTCCAGTTTGACATATAACTTCCTGTGAAATCTGTTACAGCATTCCCTCCGGTTCATTCTGTGGCATTAGGGCTGGGCAAACGGTTTCCATAGCCAGCTAGGTTTAGGAAGACAACATCAGATAGGTGTCTTCGCTGCAGGACTTTTCAGAACCTTTAATATGTTAATGCAACTTGTCATCGAGTTACTGAACCTCAACTACCTCATTTCCTTGCTTGCCTCTTTGATTTTCTGAAATTTCCTTTCTTCTGAGGACTCGTGGAGTAAGCTTTAGTAATGTCAGGCCCAGAGAGAGAGGTCAAAGTGCGCCCAGATAGGGCTGGACTCACCTCCAGGAATTGACCTTGTGATTCCCTCTCACCTCACGCTTCTTGTCCACAGGAGCCAGGGGTGGGGGGCAGGGGTAAGTGATGACTTACATAGTGGTTCTCAACCTTCTGGCCCTTTCAATACAGTTCCTCATGTTGTGACCCCCAACCATAAAATTATTTTTGTTGCTACTTCATAACTGTAATGTTGCTACTGTTCTGAATCGTCATGTAAATCTCTGATATGCAGGATGGTCTTAGGCGACCCCTGTGAAAGGGTCGTTTGACCGCCAAAGGGGTCGCGACCCACAGGTTGAGAACCGCTGACTTAGAGAGAAGCACATCGATTAGTTAGTTGGCCGAGGAAAGCGGGAAGTCCTTGTGGGGGGGCGGTGGTCATTGGCATCATCAGAGGTGAGATGGTGGCATCCTGAGCAACTTCCTTTCTTCCAAGACCTCGCCAAAGAGCTTGGCCGCCTCCAGGGCACAGCCCCAGTGGATGGTGAGCCCGTAGCCTCCATGGCCATAGTTGTGGATGACCTGGGAGAGGAAGAGAGGAGATGGCCTGGTCTGCCCTGAGAGATTCAGGAACTTTCTGAAGAGTCCTGGACAAAGCCAGAGGACACCGAAACTCTTCTCAGCACCCTGGCGGGAGGGTGGGGTCTCTGGGAGCAGCAGTAAGGGGGTTGTTTGGGGAACTGGAGGTTGACACCCTAGACTCCTCTTCTACTTAGGAGAGGAACCTGCTTTATACACTCAGCACAGGAAATGCAGAATCATCTAGAACTTGAAGTCAGAGGTTTTCACACACACACACACACACACACACACAAAATGGCTTGACGTTCTCTAAATCACCTTCCTCGTTCCCACCCTGCTCCGGATTGCTGAACCTCCTGTGTGAATAGATGACTCTTCTACCCACGTCGGGAGGAAAGAAAACCAGGGGCACCCTCAGAGCGGGGTCTGGGTAACGTGCTTATTCATCCTGGAGACAGAGGCAAGACCTTGGGGCGCTTTTCAAAGCTCAAACCGTTAGCCGGGACTTAAAAACTCCATGCGTGACTCTCCCGATTTTACACACATTCCCGGGATAAGGAAGGACGGTGACCTCGATGGGGAAGATTGCTTTCCTGATGGGAACCCAACCCCCACCCACTCAGGCCAGTGCCTTCAGCCCAGAACAGCACCTCCCGTCATTTCAATAAGCCCAGTTCCTGCCCTGGGAGAGAGGACATGAGAGGGGACCCCAGAGAGACAATGGAGCAGCCGCAAATGGACGCGTGGGAAAGGGGGCTGGAGTCACATTCAGATCGCATCCCAAGCCTGTCCCTCACCAGTGGTCTGATTTAGGGAGCGACTCCACCTGTTGGAGCCCCTGTTTGCTCATCTGAAGCTCAGAGAGGATAGTCCCCACCCCAAAGAGCTGGAGGGGAGGTTCCCTAAGGTCATTGGTGTCATGGGCACAAAGCAGATGTTCAATAAGGTGCCCATTTCCTTCTGCTTGACCACAGATCCCAGCAAACCAAGGCACTGCCCTCTATGTAACCTGGAGTGGGTCCTTCACCATCATGGAGCCTCATTTCTAGAGGAGGGGACATGAGCCAGCACTGCCAAGGGCCCTCTTAGGAGTGAGGAGGGCATTGCTTTCCATGCCAGGAAAGTGTACCTCTGTGTTTGAAGACCCGAAGCAAAGCTGTTCTCTCTCTAGCCGAATCTGGGGGCGTACTGGCCGGAAGCCAGTCAATTCAGCAACAATTTTGGCATCCTGGAAAGAAAAGTGTTAGTAATTCATCTCCCGATTATTTTTTTTCTGCTGCCATTTTTAGGGGATAGAGAGTTCACTTTTGGGACCTCGGTATCATTACCACCACCTTGGACACCATCACTGTCTGTTTTATTCATCCCCACTGCCATCATCACCACCTTTGTCAGCCACCAACATCATTACTATCACTCATTACCACCACTTCTATCAGCTTCTCCATCTTTATCAACCACCAGTCACCACCATGATATTGTCAACAGTCACCACCTCATCACCATCCTTATTACCAACCTCAGCATTTTCATCACCATCAATACCAACCACTACCTCCACCTGCTCATCACACCCTCTTCACCATCAGTGTTGTCATTGCCACTAACAGGCACATGAGAAAACTGAAATTTCTGCAACAAATATGTTTTGAAGATGTCACCTTAACAGAGAGTAAGTCTCAGTCATGGTCATATATGTTTCATCAGCCCATAGCAGGACTTCCCTGGGCATTATCAAATTCGGGTGTATTCCACAGGCCCTTGCTGGAATTAATTCGCCCAGTTATCCCGTGGTAGAATCTTCCCCTCCTCACATGTCCTCACGATCAAGCTGCCCGGAGCCTGGTCTAGGGACCGGATACCTCTCCCCCTTACCTTCAGTGTGGGCTCCAGTCTGCAGCAGCCTTCCCAGATGGTGTTGTGGTCTTCACTATTGTTCACCTCGCTCCAGTTCCCCAGCTGGAAGATGCCTCCAAGAGTCACTGCCTGGATCCTACATAAAAGTAAGGAGGGTCAAGGATGAAGGGAAATGAAGCCTTTGAGATGAGTGGGGGTCATCACCACGCTAACCCTTACCACCATCTCTACCTAACTCACTGCTACCATCAACATCCCTGCTCACAATACCACCAACACCACAGCCATTGCCATTGTCATCACCATCAACCACCACTTCCACCATCACCGTTATTGTCATCTCTTCATGTATACAGCATGGCAACTATAGTTAACAATACTGTATGAATACTTGAAAATTGCTAAGAGAATAGATTAAAAAAAAAAATACTTTCTGCCCTAACCGGTTTGGCTCAGTGGATAGAGCGTCGGCCTGTGGACTGAAGGGTCGCAGGTTCAATTCTGGTCAAGGGCATGTGCCTTGGTTGTGGGCACGTGCCCAGTGGGGAGTGTGCAGGAGGCAGCTGATTGATGATTCTCTCTCATCAATGTTTCTAACTATCTATCCCTCTCCCTTCATCTCTGTAAAAAATCAATAAAACTATATTTTAAAAAATATTTTCTATTGATTTCAGAGAGGAAGGGAGAGGTAGAGAGAGATAGAAACATTAATGATGACAAAGGCTCATTGATCGCTGCCTCCTGCACGCAACCTGGGTATGTGCCCTGACTGGGAACCGAATCCGGAACCTCTTGGTCCATGGGACGACGCTCAATCCACTGAGCCACCACGGCCAGACAAGAGAGTAGATTTTAAGTGTTCTCATCACACACAATGTCATTATGTGAGGTAATGAATATGTTAACTAACCTTATTGTGGTAATCATTTCATAATATATACATCTATCAAATCATATTATGCATCTCAAATGAGCACAGTGTTGTGTGTCAATTATATCTCAATAAACCTGGAAAAAATATTGTCATATCCATCAACAACACCATCTGCACTACTTCCTTCCTTGTTACCATTGAGATGTCGTCACCATCATCCCCAGCCACCATTTCCACCACCGTCATTAACCATGGATATTGTCATCTCCTGCTCACCATCGCCATCGCCATTGAGACCGTCAGCACAGCCACAGAGTTAACATGGCCTCTGAGACTGTCATCTCTGCCCCTCTGTTACCGTTATCATTGCTACTGTCATCTCCATGAGCACTGCCTATCCCCCCCACTCCCAGTCACCTCCAGCATTGACACTGATCTCCTCATCAATAGCAAGACTATCTTTACTGCCACTATTTCACTATCAACATGGTGGTCATCGCATCAATACCACCACCATATTCATTAACACCATCACCTCTGTCATTAATATCACCATCAGCTCCAATCACCATTCCCACCACCCTTCCTGCTGTTGCCATTCACACCACGTCTAGTGTCACTGCCATCACGTCCTTGTCTCCAGCATCACCTTTGTCTCTAGCATCACTCTCATCCGAAAGCATGTTCAAGCCTGGCCGGCAGGGCGTGGCTCAGTGGTTGGTGTTTCTATCTCTGTCGCCCTCTCCCAGGCATTTAATGACTCAACCACACTTTAAAAAAAAAACATTTGAAGAAAAAAGCTGAAGGGACTAAGCAACGGGCCTGGGGCAGGCAGCAGGAGCTTGAGGGCATAAAGATGGCCCCTCTTCTGCCTAGGATGCCAGCTTTTTACCCTGGGATGATGTACGGGGACTTGTAGATGCCTCTGTCTAGGTCATGGGTGATGATGAAGTGCTTCATCCAAGGGGCATCCACCTGTTGATAGAGGACGAAGAAGTCTCCTCAGGGGAGATGCATCAGCGGGCCCCCTGCCCTGCTCCCCTCCAAGACCACATGCTCTGATAAGAGTGGACAGTTCCCAGGAGCCCCTGCCACCGTCTGCACCTGGCTGCCTGCGCTTGCAGGAAGAGCACCCTGAATGAGAGCCAACCTGCCCCCTGAAGCATCGAATGTTTTCACCCACGTACCCACAGAAAAGCCCAGCACGTGTGTGCAAACACACACACACACACACACGACCACCTCAGGAATACACACGCCATCCCCACACACCTACACACCTACGAATGCACACGTGTACATTCACAAACAGGCACGCCTCACGCACATGTACACGTACACAGTGAGAGGTGGTGTGGACTGATGCTTATACCCAGGCTCTTCTCCAGGCTGCCTGGGTTCTAATCCCGGTTCCACCGCTTACTACTGCGTGAACTTGTGCATGTCCCTTAATTCCTTTGTGCCTCAGTTTCCCTATCTGAGATGGTGATGGTGATATGATAGACCCCATCTCAAAGGGTTGTGGTGAGGATTCAGCGATGGACACAACAAAGTCCTCTTTTCGTTATAATAATAGGCATGCTCGCACGCATATGCAGCTCCCATATATGCACAAGCATGTACTAGTATATAGACACGCATGCTATGCTATTAAGAAGAAATCTCAAAAAAGAACATTTGGGAGGGTTCGTGTTGCGTTGGTCTCTCTTGCTTCTTCGACATGCAATTCCTCTGGCAGATGTCCCTGACCCATCCTCTGTCTTTGGAGATGAGATAAGCAGGCAGCTACCATCTTCCTAACAACAAAGGCCGAGGTCTCATCCCTCACCTCCACACTCACCTTAATGATCTGCCCCCGGCCTGGCTGCAGCAGCGGGTCCGGCTGCAGCGCCCCGGCCCACACGCCGGTGCAGTTGATAATCACATCAGCGCCTCCTCTTGCCACCTGGCAGCAACCAACAGGGCAGGTAGGGTGGAAGGGGGTAAGGATCCTGGTACTCCTGCCCCCTCTTCTACCCTCCTTTCACCTCAAAGCTCTCAGCTCCCTGTGGCACAGCAGGGCGGAGGCTCAAGGAGGAATTCCTGGGCCTGGCTCCTAATGTCTGCTCTGCCCTTGACCTGCCGTGTGGCCTCAGAAATGTCCTGTCACCTCCTCTAGGCTCAGCTGCCTTAGCAATAAAATGGGGCTGGTAATGCACATTCGCAAGCCACTGTGAGGATCCAGTGTGGCTCTGGGTGTAAAAGTGCTTAGAAAGGAGTACCGTGGAAAAGGGGGGACCTTTCTGGAACCTTCCAGAAGTCAGAAAGCAAGCGGAGCTCGTTCTCTTCCTCTTTCTGACTCCCTTTCCTTTCATTCTCTTGCCTTCTCCTCTGCCGAGACATCTGCAGAAGGCACGTTGGAACCCCTAGTGCTGGGCATGGGTGGGATACTCGGTAGGTCCAGGATGTAGCCTGATGGGCACCCAGACTCCCAGCCCCCATGATGCACCTCAGAGGTCAGTCCTGGGGCATGCACATCGCAGGGCACTGTTACTGTTCATGAGCTAGCGTTTGCTACACTGGACTGTCATCTCTTTGGGAATGAGGGCTGCGTCTGAGTCAGCTATATTTCCCAAGGGCCCATCAGAGCTGGGTGTAGAGCGATGCTTACTATAGAACGCTAGTAGCTGCGGGGACTGAGCACCTTCCATGAGCCAAGCACTACCCTAGCTGCCGGGACTGAGTGAAGTCATAGAACAAAGCTCCTGGGGCAAGGCCAGCGCCTGATGGTAGCAGCTCCTGTCATGATGACCGGTGGTGGTGTTCCTCCGCCGGTGAGTCAGCTGGGGCCCGTGACTTTGCAGAAACATCAACCCAGAGGTCGGTAGGAGGCAATCCAAGTGTCTGGAACTTGGGGGTGGGGAGCAGCTGATATTGGGCTTTAATATAGATCAGCCCTCATGGCCGCCATTGTGCCCCTGTCCCTTCACTTCTGCCACCAATATCAAGGCAAAATGCCCGAGTCCTTCTGGGATTGACAGACGTTTGGAGTCTGGGATGGGCCTCAAAGGGATCCTGGAAGACTGAGGAGGGGGCCCCCAACTCAGCAACAGGAAGCAAAGGCTCGCCCCCTTCTCCTCCCCCCAACACCCAGCCCCTGCCAGCCCTGCAGCTCACCTCCTCGAAAGACTCCACCTTCTGCTGGAAGAACCTCACTCCCCGCTCGGTTAACCTGGGATGATCAGACACATGGAAAAGCTCATGACTCAACCCTCTCTCCCACCTCTCCACAAGGACAGCATGGGGACACGTCCCAAACACCCTCTGTCCCATGGGCTGCTCCTTGAGAAAACGGCTGTATAGCCAAACTGGTTGGTGCCCCAGGGGGCCATGAAATGTCCCTTGGGAAACCTGAGACTGTCCAAGATCCTCATCGGGCAGATGGAGATGGGAGAAGGGCCTTGCTGAAGGTCATATTGTGAGTCAATGACGGGGCTGGAGCTCACACTAAATGCAGGGTGGAGGGGGGACAGGGTTGGACCAATGCCACCCCTTTGTCAGAAGCAGAGCATGAGGAGGGAGGAGGGCTAGGGACACTCACCCCTCCCTCTAAATCTCTCAGCTGAAAAATATTTGTCACTATTAGAAATATAATAGAAACATCAAAAGAACAAAAAAATAAACTATATAAAGGCTGAAGCATAACCTCAGGACTATTTTATCTACATAGTTTCCTCAAGGTAGAAAAACTTGGAGCATTTGTTTCAGGAAGAGCCTAGACGGGAGTCGTTAAGTGTCCCAAGGTTAGAAGAAATAACCGGGTTTTAGTGCAATAGTTCGTAAACCTGGCTGATCATTAGAATCACCCAGGGAATTTCCTAAAATACAAATTTCTGAGCCCCATCCCAGAGGTTTTGGTTCAGTAGATATGAAGCAGGGTCCTGAAAGCTACGTTTTTAAAAACTTCCCAGGTCACTTGATAAAAGCCACCATCTATTCTATATTTTTAAAAATCATAATGAAATAGTAATAGGTAGGAAGTATATGGAATCTTTCTTAATGTGAAGGCACGTGAATACAAATACAAATGTATCTCTCAAGCTAATGTTTGCTAATGTAGAACACTTCAAGATTCCTATCAACATCAAGAACAAGACAGGGACGTCTACTATCACCTGTATTATTTAACATTGTTCTGGAGGTACTGGCCATAGCAGTTAGACAAGAAAAAAAAAAGATGAGGTATAAAAATAAAAGGCAACGCATGTTTTGTAGATGATGTAAATAGACCTGGAAAACTTAAGAGAATCCATTTAAAGCTACTACACAAATGTTATGGATTTTAGTGAGGTCGATAATAGACATCACATGTAAAGAGTTGCCCAGCCAGATGGAACCACTGCACAGTGGTTAACTCCCACCACACCTAAAGGTTAACATTTGGGGTTGGTCGATACAAAGACGAATACCATGAACAACCATCTACTACAACCCTGGTCCCTGGGAGGGCTTTCCTGAAGCTAAAGTTGAACATCTCACCTTTCAGTCAGCCACTGCAGATACCTCCTCCCCTCCAGAGTCAGGCTTGTGTTGAACCAGCCGTAGCTAGAGTCACAGCAGGCAAAGGTGGGAATAAAGGATCAGAATCAGAAGGCTATCCAATGGAGATGGGAGCAGTGTTGGGTGGTTGTTGTGTTTTTTTGGAGGGGCGGTGGAAGGGGGGTGGTGGTGGTGTGGGCCCAAGGGTCGAGACAGGACCATTATTGGGAGAAGTTCAAGTGGAAGTGGTTTTTAGCTCAATGCAAGGAAATTTGTTCTGTCAGACAAAGCCATCCCCGACATGGGGATGTGCAAGTGGAGACTGGATGTGCCTTTGGAGAGGGGATTCAAGCATTGGGTGGGTGAGGAGAGGACCGGAAAGACACTGGGCTGTAGGGAAAAGAACAGAGGGGTTTGGCGTCACACAGACTGCATTGGAATCCCATTCTGGTCACTTGGCTGTGTGACCTTCGGAAGTCACATAGCCTCTTTAAAGGGGTACGGAGCTTCTGGCCTTGAGATCTGTGGTTCCATAACCCCCACTTCCTTCGCCCAAGGCCCAGTTTGGGTGGGTTTCTTCTCTGAAGGAGCTGAACAGAGCACCAGGAGACCAAGGTCTGAGGGGCTCTCGGCGTAGGATGGGACAGGAACTTTGGTGACTCCGTCTTCTGCTGCCTCCTGGACGGGTCTGTCTGAATTGTGGGGCCTCATTCCCTTTGCCCATGACAGTAACCTTACCTGTAATCGGGGAACATGTCCAGCTCCCTGGGTGTCAGCTTCCGAAATCCCAGAACTATGTCCTTCCAGGAAGGGTCCTGCAGAAGAAGGAGAGGAGGGGACACAGGGATGGGTGCAAGTCAAGAGTATCTATAACAAAAATTTTTATATAATGTTCACTGTGTGTAAGGCTCTGTTCCAAGCATTTTACGTATACCACTCCATTTAATCTTCACAGCAACCCATTGAGGTAGATCCTATTATTATCCCCATTTAATAGATGGGCCCATTGAGGCTTAGAGAGGTTAAGTGACTTGTCTAAGATCACACAATTAATAAATGGTGGAGCTGAGATCTGAACCCACACAGTTTGGCTTCAGAGTCCAAATTCTTAACCATTATGCTATACTAAGGGTAAGAGTAAGACTTGGGGTGAGTGATAGGGTAAGGGTTGGGAATATGGGAGACAAAAGGGGAGGCAGTGAAAGTCCCCAAGGAGTGAGAGTGGGGTCAGACAACATAAATGGAAATTTCAGTCTCACCCCTGAACACCTTGAATTCTCTGAGGCTGTTTTCTGGTCTGTATCATGGAGTGAATAGTCACTCTTGGTCCCATGGAAGGTAGTGGATAACGTGGCTAATGCTCTTAGCACAGGGTTAAATGTTGACTAAACCTTGGAGAGTTGGCTTGGGGTTGTGGGCACCCAGCCAAATCACCCTCTCCAAGCAACCTGAGAACATCCCCCATGCGGTCACAGACTGTCTGGGTTCAAATCCCAGCTCTGCCACTTTAAAACTTTGTGAGCTCAAGTAAGGTACGCCATTTCATCTGCAAAAGGAAGATACTAATAACACTCAATTATTGTGAGAGTTAATTGAGGCACAATTTGTAAAGTAGTTAGGACAGGGCCTGGCACACAGTAGGGGCTTTAGAAGTGTGCACCATGATGAGTGTCTTAGTCCATCTTGATGAAAAGCCCGGGGACCACCTGCAGAGTCACAGGACGTATTTTGGCCTCAGCACCAAGTGCCCACCACTACAGAACGTGACTCTGGTCTGTGATCAAGGCTCTGCCCCACGGTCAAGGGCTCCTCACTCACCGGAACAGCTTCATGGAAGAGGTTGTAGCCCGAGATCGGGGCCAGGCCCATGTTTGCAGCATCGGGGGAATGGATGTGGCTCAGGAGGTAGTCGAAGGTCTGCCGGTTCCAATGCCTGGAAGGGTCCACCAGAGTCTCATCACGTCATGCCCTGAGCTGGATAAGACCGCTCTGAGGGTCAGCTTGCCCGGGGCTGTGGCCAGGCTGGTGGGGAGGTGTCCAAATCCAGAAATCCATCATGGTCCACTCCTGCAGCCCCCCACGTGCCTAGGGGTCTCCCTCTTCCCCAAGCTTTCCAATATGTCCCCATCAATAGAAAAGAGAAGAGGGAAACCGAGCATGCTCCCTCACGACCATTCGGAACCGACCTCCAACTTAGGATCACGTAGTTGCCAAGTTTAAATGAAGGCTGTGACCTGCTTCGGAGACTGTGAGCCACACGGTTCAAGCTCTCTCTAGGCAGAAAAGAGAAGAGGGAAACAGCATGCTCCCTCACAACCATTCGGAACCTACCTCCAACTTAGGATCACATAGTTGCCAAGTTTAAATGAAGGCTGTGACCTGCTCCGGAGACTGTGAGCCACACGGTTCAAGCTCTCTCTAGGCTCCACCCCACTGTAAACACCAGCTGGCACTCCCAAAGGCTTCCTCTTCTCCCTGGGCTCACAGCTCAACTACATTTCCCAGACTCCTTTGCAGCTAGGCATGACCATGTGACTGCCCTCTAGCCAAAAAACCCCAGAAACTGTGCACACCTAGTCCTCATGCTATGCTCCTTGTGCAGGTTGCTGGCCCATGTGAAGGGCAACGTTGGAAGCCACGGAGGAGAATGACAGAGCCATGAGCTGGAAAGAAGCCCGATCCCTAAACTGTCACCCACTGATCAGGAACATTGGTTTGGAATTTGTGGGTGGAATAAAACGTCTGTTTGAGCCCTAACTGGTTTGGGCAGGCGGCACTGATCGATGTTTCTAACTCTCTATCCCTCTCCCTTCCTCTCTGTAAAAAATCAATAAAATATATTTTTTTAAAAAAAAACACAAAACAAAAAAAAACCACGTCTGTTTGAGCTGTTATTCATCTGAGGTGTCCTTGTGGAATCAGCTGGGGGTTTCAAAACTAACATCATGACCTTTACAACTTTTTTGCTAAACCTGAGCATTGATCGACTCAGAAGTATTACACAAAACAAAAAAAAAACGTCTGTTTGAGCTGTTATTCATCTGAGGTGTCCTATGTGGAATCAGCTGGGGGTTTCAAAACTAACATCATGTCCTTTACAACTTCTTTGCTAAACCTGAGCATTGATCGACTCAGAAGTATTCCTGATTTACCAACTCATCTGGCATCGACAGCCTCCTGGTTTAGGGGAGGGATGGAGACAAAGCCTCCATCGGTCTGGCACATGTCACCTCTATCACTGCTGAGATCAAGTGTAGCATCTGTCTAGCACCTAGAAGGGGCTTCATATTTATTATTTTCTTCACATCATGCCAGGCCATAGCCTCCACAATGGTCTTGTCATTGGTGACAGGGACCCTGAGAGGGGACAGCCCCCTCCGGAGACTCAGCTCCTCTAACCGCCCGGCCACCCTCTGGGACCCTCACTCACGCCTCCTGCTGGCTGCCGGGGTCGGAGAGGTAGGGCTGCCACAGGCCAGCAGCCACGTCGGTGTTGGTGAGCGGGGTGAAGCGGTCTGCGTAGATCTTCAAGTCCAGCGACTGCAGGACCGAGTGGTAGCGCTCGTGGATGCAGAGGGCGGTGGACAGCCCAATGACGCCCGCTCCGATCACCACCAAGCGCATTGTGCCAGCCTGCAGGACCATCTCCATCACCATCACCATCACCACTATCACTATCGTCACCACCATCACCAGCCCCCACTGAAGGCTTAGAGCAGTGGTTCTCAACCTTCTGGCCCTTTAAATACAGTTCCTCATGTTGTGACCCAACCATAACATTATTTTCGTTGCTACTTCATAACTGTAATGTTGCTACTGTGATGAATCGTCATGTAAATCTCTGATATGCAGGATGGTCTTAGGCGACCCCTGTGAAAGGGTCGTTCGACCGCCAAAGGGGTCGCGACCCACAGGTTGAGAACCGCTGGCTTAGAGAGTGGCGGATACTGCCAGACCCTTTTAACACTCAATCCTCACCATGACCCTGACAAAGGGAGAAGCAGACATGGAGAGGCAAAGCCCAAGGTCACACAGCGGGTAAGTGATACCGCTTCCTATGGGAAGCCTCCCCAAAAGCACTGTATCCATCTGGGAACATTAAAAGGGCCTAACCCCGGCGGGTGTGGCTCAGTGGCTGAGCATCAACCCATGAAACAGGAGGGCAAGATTTGATACCCAGTCTGGGCACATGCCCAGGTTGCGGGCTTGATCCCCAGTGTGGGGCATGCAGGAGGCAGCCAATCAATGATTTTCATCATTGATGTTTCTATCCGTCTCTCCCTCTCCCTTCCTCTCTCTGAAATCAATAAAAACATATTTAGAAGGGCGTAGGCAGAGTTCCTAGCTAGCTCTAAGCTGGGGAGTCCAATGGTTAGAACTATGGGCTCTGGCTTCAAATCTCAAGTCTCAGTTCTGCTGCCTACTGGCCATTGACCTTGGGCAAGACACTTCCCAAGTCTCAATTTCTTCTTCTGGAAAATGGGGAAATGAACTCATGCCTTGGAGAGTTGATGGAAGATTACCAAGATGGCACATGTAAAACGTTTAACCCTGCCCTAACCGGTTTGGCTCAGTGGATAGAGCGTGGGCCTGCGGACTGAAGGGTCCCGGGTTCGATTCTGGTCAAGGGCATGTACCTTGGTTGCAGGCACATCCCCAGTAGGGGGTGTGCAGGAGGCGACTCATTGATGTTTCTCTCTCATCCATGTTTCTGACTCTCTATGCCTCTCCCTTCCTCTCTGTAAAAAATCAATAAAGTATATTTAAAAAAAAAACAAAAACGTTTAACCCAGTGTCTAGTACAAAAGAAGCGACTTACTGACATTCGCGGAGCACCTACTGTGTGCCCGCCTCAGCGCTAAATGCTTCTCATGCTTCATTTCCTGTAAGTCTCCCAATATTCTTATTAAAATAGGGACTAGTGTTATTGGCTCCACTTTCCACATGAGGAAACTGAGGCTCTGAGAGATGAAAGTCACTTCCCCGAGGTCACAGAGCCAGGAAGGGGTGCTGCTGGGATTTCATTTCAAGTAAACTCACGCGCACTTTTTGCACACCTGCTGTGTGCCGTGCCGGGCTGGCAGCTAGTGGATGCAGCTGTAAGCAAATCAGCTGCAAAGGCTGGCCTCAGAACTCAGGTCCTCCAGCGCACCCCCTCACGGCCGGCCTTGGGGTGCTGGGCTGCCTGGGTCCTCAGAATTTTAGAAGACCTAGCAGCTTTTGACCTTGAAGCTGGTTGGGCCTGCACAGCAGGGAAATATTCTACTGGCTCCTGCTGAGGCAGAACAAGGGGACGTTTGTGCCCGAAAGGGCCAAATTCAACTTTCCCTCCTCTTTACTCACAACTCTCCTCCCACAGACCTTGGCTCCCCGCCTGTGGCCCTGAACGGCAGGACATTCTCAGTATGGCCTAGTTTTGTAAAGGAGGAAACGGCTCCAGGCCACAAAAACCGTACTCTGTTAGGATTTCAGCAGCCAAGTTGAAGATAAAAAAACGCCAAAACAAAAGAATCGCATCGTTGCTCTGGGCGATGCTTCTTCCAGCTGCCAACCTGGGCTTGGTTGGGGGGGAGGAGGGGGCAGGGGGCAGTAGGCAGACCCTCTCAGGGACCCCCACCCTCCTCTTGCAATTTCCTCATCGATAAAATAGGAGGAACCTGGTCTCACGGGGTTGTCCTAAGGATTAAATGAGCAGCATGGCAACCGTTCCTGGTACAGTGCCTGGCACGAGCAGGCCCTCAATACATGGCAGCCTCCTTCTGTCCCCCAGCACGTTGGAAATGATGAAGGAAAGAACATTGGGTGTGGAGGAGGGGAGAGGAAGAAGGGAGAGTCAGACCTGGCTTCACTTCCGCCTTGCTGTGTGACGTTGGCTAAGTGACTTCCCCTCTCTGGGCCTTCTGACTGTCTTTGCATAACCTCCATAGAGTTGAGCACCTTTGTACATTAACAATAAGAAGGCAGGCACAGAGGGCTTTTCTGTATTGTCCAAATTCCCCACAATGAATCCCTGAGGCGGCACGGCATGGGGAAGTAGTAGTCACAGCCCAGGCCGTAGGTCAGACACACCCGGGTTCACAGCTGGCTCTGGCGCGGACCAACGGTGTGACCCCGGACAAGTCACGTAACCTGACCGAGCAAAGGCGGCCGACCTCCCGATATCCCAGGACTGAGGGTGTCCCCAGGACGTGGGGGCCGAGTGCTAACACCAGGAGAGTCCCGTGGCAAACCGGGACGCGTAGTTGCTCATCGTAACAGCCTCCGCTTCCTCTTCCATAAACTTTTGAGGGTTCACAAAGCTCCCTGCCGGTTGTCTCCCCACCAGAATGTCAGGAGAGCAGGGACTTTTGTCCACTGCTCTGTCCCCATGGCCTCGAACAGTACCTGGCCCGTAGCAAGGACTCGAGAATGAATGAATAGATGAATGAATGGAGTTCTTAGAGGATCAAAAGAGAAAATACAGTGGGGCCTTGACTTACAAGTGTCCCGACTAACGAGTCTCTCAGCCGATTTTTTGCTTTGAGTTTCGAGCTAAAATTCGGGTCACGAGCCAGCTTCAGATACCCCACCGCTAGTTGGCGCAGCGAACGTCACAGTGAACGCCACAACATCAGCCCAGCATCACGTGTCTCACTCGTTCACTTTTTGATTTGACATACGAGTAATTTGAGTTACGAGCTCCGTCACGGAACGAATTAAATTCGTAAGTCAAGGCCCCACTGTACTTGTAAAGCGCTAGGCAGCTCATAAATTAAACTGGTGATTATTGTTGTCCCTAGTTCGCAGCTGAGGCTGGGAGAGAGCAAGGCTATTAGAAGTCACAGCAAGAGTTGGAGGAAGGCGGGGGGGTGGGGGTGGGAGCCCAGTTCTGCTTTTTCTAGGGCCCAAGTTTTTCTCATTCTCATGTCACCTAGAAAACCAGTGAGTAATTGAGGGGGAAAAGGAGCTGCTTATATAATAGAATTGTGTGAGATGAGAGAAGAGAGTGTCTGAAAACCCTTAAGAGGTTTCTGGGCAGGGGAAAAAGGCTTCGAACAGAAGCAGAGCGGGCACATGGCACGTCTCAGATAACAAGCAAAGCCTCCGGGTAGGTGTGGTGTCCAAGAGAGCGGGGTGGGGTGAGGGGGGAGTCCCAGAGTAACTTCCGGTACCAGCTGGCCGGATAAAGGGACAAGTCACAGTGCAGGGCTCAGTTCCTGCAGTATGTAAAATTCTAAAGGTGAGCAAGATGTCCTCATGCAGATGGGGAAACTGAGGCTCAAAGAAGCGGAGGGACTCAGCTGAAGTCACACATTTGTGAAAAAAGACTTGTGGGCCTTAGCCAGTGTGACTCGGTTGGAGCGTCATCCCATGTAGGGGTCGCAGGTTTGATTCCCGGTCAGGACACTTGCCCAGGTTGAAGTTTCAACCCCCAGTCGGGGCACCTAGGACAGGCAACCGATGGGTGTTTCTCTCTCACATCGACGTTGCTCTCTCCCTCTCCCTCTCTCAAAAACCAATAAAAACATATGCTCGGGTGAGTATTAAAAAAAAAAAAAGATTTGTAGGGTCTTGAGGTTAAAAAGACCCCGTGAAAGGTGGGACTAGGTCACATCCAGAAAAGAACTACAATGTGGAGAGAAACAGCAGTGACAGCTGCTGCTAGTTTTTCAACTCCTAGGATTATGCTGAGAACTTTACACGCACGATCTACTTTAACCTTCCACCCACCCTTGGGATGATCATTGTGCCCATTTTACAGAGGAGGCAACTGAGCCTCAGACAGCCCCTGGTAAGAAGCAGGGCCCAGGCCAGCCTGACTCACAAGTGAAAAATCTGAAGGTCAAACAGGTGAAGGGATGCCCCAATGTTTCAAAGTCCTACATTGGGGGGGAAAAACCCACATAAAATACAACAATTGCTGGAATGTTCAGTGTGTTGGTGATAGGCACAGAAGTGAAGAGAGACTATGCATGTCCTAAATCAATGATCTTAATAAAGTAGGCGAATCAGATTGGACAGTGATTACAGTAACTTTGTGTGTGTATGTGTGTGTGTGTGTGTGTGTGTCTAATTATAATGTCTATTTAAGGATGGAGCAGGAAGGGAGCCATTTTGGTCATCTGCCACTTGCCAGACACATGTAGATGCAGTATAGACATCCTCTCACCTGCTCCAGAAGGTTCTACAGAAGTGAAACTGAGGTGCAGGGAGCGAAAGCCACGCTCCCACCGTCACCCAGCCAGTGTGGGCCAGTGTTCAGACCTGCGCTCTCTGCACCGTGCAGCCGGCAATACATGGACACTGACCCTTCCTGCTTGTCCTGTGTTTCTTTGCTAATCGGCTCCCTTTTCCCTAGAAAGTGGCTGGAGGCAGCTCCTGCCTTGGATGGCCACATGTGCGCAGCCAAGACTAGGAAAGATCGTCCTGAAAAAAATCAGCAAGTCCCGGGGAAGATATTTGAATGAACATTATTAGCTCCTCCAAGTTGCGCCCTAGGGCTACTTCTAATGAAGTTGATGTTTTCAGAGTTTATATTGAAAATGGAACAGATTTTATAAATGCTTGACAGCCAAGCTACCAGCTCCCCGCCCCCCAAATCATAATGGCCATGTATTGAGTACTTGGTGCGTGGCCAGTTCTATGCTAAGCACTTTACATCAATCACCTGTTTTAACCCTCAAATCAACCCTGTAAGAGGTGAGTTAGGATCCCATCTTCCAGATGAGGAAACAGAGGCTTAGAAAGGCAAAGGCGCTTACCCGAGGTCCCGGCCCGACTACAAGGCTGTCACCTGCCTCCGGCTCTAAAGTGGAGCCTTCTCTGTTGACACCGGGAGAACATGAGTTCTACTGCCCGCCCCCCCCCCAAAAAAAAAGAACACCCCCACTCACCGGGTGTGCCAAACTTCTGGAGAAATGAGGCAGCTGCTGTGGGTGCAGGGTCCTGTCTCCTAAGGGGAGGCTCCTGATTCTGGAGTGTCCTGTCCTCAGTCCTCTGCCCGCCAGCCTGGACTGGAGCTCAGGGTCAAAGTCCGGAGTTATAGACAGGGCGCAGCTTGGCGCTGTGCGGCTGGCAGGGGCTGAACCCCCCACCCCCTCCCCTCACTCCCAGTCCCTGAAAAGCTGCCTGACTTTTCTGGCTGATCCCAAGGCCCTGTGTCCAGGCCTCGGTGGAAGGGAGGGGGCAGGCGGGGGTTCTTGGAGGGCTGATGGGCACAAGCAGGCCTGTCTCCCGGGCCAGCTGGAGGCGATCCTCTTTCTTCTCTCTTTCTGCTGCCACCCCGGGGGGAGGGAGGGTCGTTTCCTGGCCTGCAGAGGGTGGTAGGGGTGGTCATCTTGGCAGCACCGGAAGGGAGGCCAGAGGTACTGGACAGGGCTCCCCGGGCCAGCCGGCCAGCCCAATGCCATTCTGGGACGCTAGGTGGATGAGGCCAAGAAGAGACCACGAGGATACTCTTTGCTCGGTATCCCAGGGACACTAGCAGCAGGGCTCCAGGTCCCTCCTCTGCAGGGCCAGACCTGGAGCGGTGGTTATTAAAGCCCAAAGGTCATCGGGCACCTCGCTGAATGGATGGGGAGACTGAGGCCCAGAGAGAAGAACCAACCAGCCCTCGGGGAGGCATCGTTTGGGTCAGTTTTGAAGGACCAGCCTCTACTTGGCCCCTGCCCCCAGCATCAGCAAATAAAAAGGTGAAGGTGAGCATCGGCCCTCGGACTGAAGGGTTCCGGGTTGGATTCCAGTCAAGGGCACGTACCTTGGTTGCGGGTTCCCCGGCCCTGGTTGGAGCGAGTGTGGGAGGCAACCAATTGATGTGTCTCTTTTACATCCATGTTTCTCTCTCTCTCTCTCTCTCTCCCCTCCCTTCCACTTTCTCTAAAAATCAATGGAAAAACAAGACAAGGCACCCTGGATTTTATCTGGTGACCCCTCACACAGGCAGTCTGTACCCAGAGCTGGAGCACCAGGCCACCACACTAGAGAGCTTAACTGAGTGGGAACAGTGAAGGGTCTCAGGGACCACACAGGGACTTCCCACACAGCAGGGCTGGGTGTGGGCTGTGGTTTCAGAGAGTCCTGTGCTGTATGTGAAAAGCATATTCGGTATTGTTATTTAATTTTGGAAAATGAGGTGCAGGGACACCCATTGTTTTCGTGATACAAAGCACAGAAAGTAAAGTTCCACAGAATATTCTTGGCTTTTGGATTAAGATGTCCCCCTCGGGTGGAGGGGTGGGGGTGTGCAATTTTTAAAATCTTTATCAGAAGAGGGCATGAGAAAAAAAAGAAAAAGAAAAAGAAAAAGCTGAGAAACACGGAACTGGTTGAATGTGCCCATTTTACAGCTGAGTAAACTGAGGCCCCAAAGAGAGGAAGGGATGTGCCTTAAGTCCCACAGGGTATATGGCTCCCCCGGTGGGTTGATTGCAAGGTCCTTGAGAAACTATCTGAAGTCCAAAGTTCACTGATCATGCTAGCAGGCCCCAAAGGACCTTGGGAAGCATTTTTTGTTTGTTTGTTTGTTTGTTTGTTTGTTTGGCTGGAATGTTAGGAATCAAGGATTTCTCTGGTCTATGGGCTGATTGATAAACAACGTGGCCTCCTAGTAGCTCTGAAACAGCACACTCAGGCCAGGGCAAAAGATCCATTTACTAGGAGGCAGAACTCTGTGGGGGCCACATGAAGTTCTAGAATAATAAGTTAACCCCCACCCCCACACACACACTCTCAGACAAAATTAGCTTTATTATACCTTTTCTGAGTATTAAGATCATCATAACCTCTATAATTTATACAAAACAGAAGCTATAAAGCAGAAAGTACTAATCCCCTGTAACCAATCCCACCACCAGGAAAGAGGGGCCATTCACATTTGGGGCAAATATCCCCAAACATTAACATAAACACACCACTTCATGTGCCCCAAATGGGATCACATTGTGTGTGCTGTTTCGACTCCCAGTTCACGCATCAATATGGTCTGTCCTGAACATGTTTCCACTCGGCTATTAACCAGTGGTCCATTCATACAGGACCATTGAATGTGGGTACCACAGTTTTTAAAGGCAGGCCCTATGGGGACTGTCTCTGTAATGTTTTCGATATTACAAACAAGTATCCTGGCTGTGAATCTTGACACACGTGTCTAATGATGTCCTTGGGGGTCAAGACCTAAGAAATGGAATCACTGTGCCTAAGGGTTTGCTGGACCCCATCCATCCGTCCAGAGAGATGGCTTGGCAGGAGCCCTGGATACCGGTGACATCTGGACCCGATGGGCCAAGGGTCCAAGGCTTCCCATCCCAGACACCATTCCCCAAACACAGGGGCATGTCCAAACTGTCACCTCCCCGGCAAGAAAGGCCAGGAACCTGGACGTGGGCTCTGAGGTCTGGTTGGCCTGGGTTCAAATCCTACCTCTGCTCAGAGCCTCCATTTCTGCATCCCAGGAGGTAGTAACAGCAGGTGTATTTGTGTCCTGGAGCTGCTTTAGGAAAGAACTACTGACTGGGTGGTTCACACAACAGAAGTGTGTCGCCTCACAGATCTGGGGGCCGGGGTTGGTTCCTTCCGAGGCCTGTAAGAATCTGTCCCAGGCTTCTCTCCTGGTTTCTAGGGTTTGCTGCTGCCATTCTAGGCTGTTCCTCGGCTTGTGACAGCAAAACTCCAATTTCCACACGGCGATTTCTCTGTGTCTCTATCTTTCTGTCCAAATTTCCCCTTTGCATGAGGACATAGTCCTATTGGACTGGGGCCCGCCCTAATGACATCATCTTCACTTGATGACATCTGCACAGACCCTATTTCCAAATAAGGTCACATTCACAGGTCACGGGGTTAGGACTTCGGCAGTCAGGCCCATAACCCAGCCTTGAAATAAGTGCTGTCATTCTTTCCCCCTTCACAAAAGCAGGAAGTAAGCCCCAGGCAAAGGAAGTGCCTGCCCTGACTCCTAACATCGAAGGCCAGTTTGAAGCTGGCAGATTCCAGGGTTTTTACATCAACCTGGTGGGGTTGTCGTGTGGTCCCTCTGCTCAAATGTCACCTTGTCCAGAGGTCCCCTGGACACTTGCCTAAACAGCCCCCTCCTCACCCTCTCACCTTAGCCTGCTTTTTCTCTACCCCCCACCCTCCACCCCTGCTTTTTTTGTTTGTTAATCCTCACCTGAGGATACTTTTTTCCATTGATTTTTTTTAGACACAGTAGAAGGGTGGGGGAGAGACAGAGAGAAAGATACGTTGATGTGAGAGACACTCATCGATTGGTTGCCTCCCTCACCTGCCCCAGGGATAGAGCCTGCCCTTGACAGGAATCAAACCCGGGACCCTTCAGTCCGAGGGCCGACGCTCTAAGCCAGTGGTTCTCAACCTTCCTAATGCCGCGACCCTTTAATACAGTTCCTCATGTTGTGGTGACCTCCAACCATAAAATTATTTTCGTTGCTTCTTCATCACTGTAATTTTGCTACTGTTATGAATCGTAATATAAATATCTGATATGCAGGATGTATTTAGGCGACCCCTGTGAAAGGGTCGTTCGACCAAAGGGGTCGCGACCCATAGGTTGAGAACCGCTGCAGCACTGAGCAAACCATTTAGGGCTCTCAAGCCCTTTTTACTACTTGATATCATATTTCATTTATTTGAACCTGTGCCTGTCTTGTTCTAAGAACCTTACCAATATTAACTCATTTAATATAACATATTTTGCAGATAGTATACTAATGGCTTACACAGTTTGACTCTATCCCCTCTTCCCTTCCCCCCTCATAGGCTATACTGGAAGAATCTCTGTCTTTTGCTTGAATTCTAAAGTAAAAAAATGTGGGTTCAAACCCCAGCTTCATCACTCCCTAGCTAAGTGACCTTGGGTGTGTGACGTAACCACTCCATGCATCAATTTCTTCATCCGTGAAATGAGAATCCGAACTGTGTGACAAGAAATAAATAAAGAGGCCCAACCCAGTAAAAGACACAGGGACTGCAGGCGCACAGATAAGGGATATCTGATCTTCTTGTAGGAGGCGACCCTGGAGCGTGGACGGAAGACATTTAGATGTTAATAAACCAGGTCCCTCAACCCCCTTGCAAATCACTTTGCATATCGGCCTAGCAGACAGCAAATAACTTGCTGTTCTTTTTGTAAAAAAATATTTTTTTATTGATTTCAGAGAGGAAGGGCAAGGGAGAGAGAGTTAGAAACATCAATGATGAGAGAGAATCATTGATGCCTCCTGCACCCCGCAACCTGGGCATGTGCCCTGACCAGGAATTGAACCGTGGCCTCCTGGTTCATAGATCAACGCTCAACCACTGAGCCGCGCCGGCCAGGCAACTTGCTGTTCTTAGTAGATGCAAGACTGAGCTGAGACGATGAGAATGAAGTCAAAGATGATTAGATAAATGAGGATGAAAAAAATTAAGATGGTACCAGCTGGAAAGGGCTCCACTGGGTACAAGGAAACTTCTAGCTGGTTCCCCTCCTGCAAACCCGGTTCTGTGAGGCCCGGAGACTGAGGCCAGGGGGCTTTGGCTTCTTTGCCCTCCCACCCCAGCCCTTTTCACTAAAGGGTTAGAATGACCAAAATTATAAAGAAATATAGGGTCGAATCAAGACAGGGATCAGTAAAAGCAGCTTGCTGTGCCATATTGGATCCTGAAGCAAAAGGAAAAATCAGCAATACAGTACTGATCCTGTCGTTAAAAAAAGTTGACATTTCATGCATTGTGGATTTTTAAAAAAATAATTTTTTAAAAAATGTTACACTAGAATATTCTTTCTTGCCCTGGCCAGTTGGTTAGAGCATCGTCTCGATATGCCAAGGTTGCAGGTTTGAATCCCAACCAGCGCACATACAAGAAGCAACCAATGAATGCATAAAGAAGTAGAACAACAAATTGATGTTTCTCTCTCTCTCTCTCTCTCTCTCTCTCTCTCTCTCTCAAAATCCATTTAAAATATTTTCATAAATTTCCTCCAAAAAGCACTTCAGAGGGACTATACTGCCTCCTTTGAGAATCACCTTT